TACTAAAAGAGTTGATACAAGATACTGTGGACTCATCTCCTCTCAGACACCTGAAAGTCATCTTGAAAAGTCTCAGGTCTTCTCACACAAACCTGTCTTACTTTAGTGTCCCCCAAGTGAGTAGATAAAGGTAAGCTTTTCAAGTTGAAACCTAGAGGCTTCCATCTCCTCAGGTCCTCACAGGCAACCCCATCAGTTTTGCTTCCTGGGATCTCTGTATTCATTTGTCCATCTCTACTCACTGCCACCATCTAACACAGGCTACTCTCATTTCAAGACAAAAGTATTGTAATAGCTTTTTAGCTGACCCCTCACATAATTTCGGTCCTCCCTATTATTCACACTACAATCAAAGTGATTTTCTAAAACCACAAATTTTATCAAAAATTTTCTAGGGCATTTTGCTTTCCAACTTTTAAGTCCGGAAGCAGGCTACACTTACTTAGTCTGCATTACAATACAAAGAGCTACAAATTTATAGCTGCATGTCTGCAAGTGGCTAACCTGGATGTATTTTCTGTGCTGGAATTTAGGTCAAGGTCAAGTTTGCTCTCCCATCACTGCCATTTTATTTTGTGTTCTTGGGTCTCTATATTTGCAATATCAAATATCATTTTTTACCTATTTTGGTTTATTTGACTCTTACAGAAGTGTTTTATAGATAGAAGAATTATGTGACCTAAATTTGAAAGTATCATGGGGTATAGAAGAAAGACATATATGATAGTTAGTAAGAAATAGGCTTCCTCAATGTGGTTATGCAATTTCAGAATCCATCTGGTGCATTAGCAAGTCCACAGATCTCAGGGAAGATGGTAATGACCTGGCATCTGTAAGACTAAATGAGAATACATATGTAGTAGACATTATGCCATTTTCTTATTTTATTTTATTTTTTTTCAAGGATACTCAGCCAGCCACTGAGCTACATCCCCAGCCCTTTCTCTTTTTAATTTTGAGACAGTGACTTGCTAAGTTGCACAAGTTCACCTCAAACTTTTGATCCTCCTGCCTTGGCCTCCAGAGTAGCTGGGATTACAGGTATGTGCCACAGTGCCTCCCTATTCTTTTTTTTTCTTAAACTACCTTCAGAGCAGTAAGGAGATAAATCCTGCTGGAAATTCCTAACATTCTATTTTGCTTCTTTGCTGTCCACAAACATCAACTGAAGAAGTGTGTATTTAGAGGTATGATTGGTATTATATAATTTTAAAGAGAAGCAAGAGGGATGTCACTTTTCATTAAAAAATTTAGAATCTGAGACAGCAAAAACATCCTCCTAAGAAATTATTAAGGGCATAGATCTTCATTATTCTGTGATTTTAAATAAATTATCAAATGGCTACCTTGTAGAAAAAAAAATTTAGTAAACAGCATAGGGTTACTGAAAGGAGAGGTCGATGATGATTAGAAATCTACTGATGGTGGCAGTTGAAAGGGAGGCATAAATTATACTTGGAATTATGGATAAAATTTAGAGAAACAGAGAAGAGAAGTCATGCCAACTCTATCACTAAACACAAGTGTATTTTTCTATTTTTATAATATTCAGGTATTCTGAATTCAATATCTTTACCTCACCCTCTAAACATTCTTTCTTCCTTTGATTTTTCAACACCAGTGTCTATTTCACCAATCTGGAAAAAACATAAGAATACTATTCCTTCATCGAGCTAAATATAAATACAAAACAAAATAAAACAAAAAGCCATAAATATTTCCTGTGATCTGACAGCTCCTGAAACCACTATTTTTTTTTTTAAAGAAAAGAAATACTTGGTTGTGAGGCAGATACTGAAGGATGAGCTGAGATTTCTACTTTCTAGGAGACTGTAGTTTTCATTTGTTCATTGCTCTTCCCTTTTTCAGGTAACTTCCAACTCTACCCACACACATCCTTTGGGACCTACTTCACCCCACCCTAGGAGGTCTAGAAGGTTGCCATGGGTAGCCAATCACAGTAATCTGCCCAGTGTGTTTATTCTCTATGTGTTGAGAGGCACATGTGTCAGGCTGGGCTAATGATACTTGCATATCCCTTTGATCACAATATCCAAATGGCAGACATGTGACTCAAGTGGGCAATTAGAGTCCTTCCTTGAATGTCCATGGTAGGGGGAAAACATAGTTCTTTTGTCTTGAATCACAAACTTGTAAGACATGAACACTGACAGGTTCTGTTATATAGAGACACCTGAGACAGACATACAAAAATAAAAGCCTAGACTAGTGATGAGGTAGTAGGTGAAGAGAGAAAGGAGAAAAATTTTAAAAGAGAGTTATGATGCTCCAGAACTCCAGCTTTTACTGCTGAAATATACTCTAATCCTGTCTTTCCATTATTTGGTTTTGTGAGTCAGTAGATTTCCTTTTTACTTAGGTTACTTTGTGTTGAATTTCTGTCACTTGCGACTGAAATTGTCATCATACAAAATTTGAAAGGTACATGGAAGAGTTCTAGGATGAGAGAACATAATAAAATCATGCAATTAAATAAAAAGTTCATAGAAGTGAGGGATATATGTGGATTGGTATCTTAGCTCATTCCAGCTTCTATAGCAAAATGACTTATAATCTATTTCTTACAGTCTCCAATGCTGGGAATACCAAGATGAAGGTGCTAGCAGATTTGGTGTCTGGCGAGGATCTGCTTACTGGCTGTCTTTTCATTTTGTCCTCAAAGGGCAGAAAGGGGAGAGGGATTCTCCAAGGCTCTTGTAAGAGCACTATTCCCATTAGTGAAGGTGGAGACTTCCAAAGGCCCCACCTCCAAATGTCATCACCTTGGAGACTAGGTTTCAATTTAAGGATTTGATAGGGTTGAGGGAAACCAACATTGGGTCTATAGTAGATGGAATCATAACAGAAGGAATCATGGTGTCCTAAAATCTTGATTAGGATTCTGAATAGTAAGATTTTGTTGACAAAGAACCAATTATTTTACATAAGTGTGAAAACAAAGGAAGGAGGCAGAAAGGCAGTTGAAATATACATATGAATTACATCCACACAACTAACTGTGACTACAAAGTGTTAGTTTATTTTGTCACACTACCTGAAAATTCATTAATCTGAATCTCATTGAGGGAAATTATCTCTTCTTTTAAAATAGTAAGGTTCTTATAATATTGTTAGTCATTTATACTATAACATAATTAATGTGGCTACTTCAAGTCCTCCAGAGCTTTGTCATCAATCCAAAAGCTTTGTCCCCTTTGAATGCTATATATGTTTATTTTATTTGTTGAATTTTTTTTTTTCAGTGCTGGAAATTGAATCCAGAGCCTTTTGCATGCTACGAAAGTGCTCTACCACTGAGCTGACTATAGTAAATTTAAGGAAAAAATAATATTCACTTTACATAAAATCTTCTTTAGAGTAGAAGAGGAAGTCTGAACATTTCACTCTGTATGTATTATACCTCAGGTTAAAAAAAAATTGTTAAGAGACAACTATAAAAAGAAGTAAAACAAGCAAGCCCCAATATGATACACGATGTTTGCAACATGCTTTATAAAGCTCTAGTATCTGTACTATATGGGCAATCCCTATAAATCAGTAAGAAATGAAGAGATATTTTATAAAAGAGAAATTACAAATAGCCAGCAAGCACACTGAAAGATGACTAACCCTATTTGTAGTCAAGGAAATGTAAAATTTAACCACAATGAGAAGATAACTCGATAATAGATATAAAAATTGAAAAGTTTAATAATAGCAAATTTTGAGGAAGGTATTTAGCAAAGGAAACTCCTCCCGTGACAAATGTGACTGCATACTGGGGCAACTACTTTTGGAGAAAAAGTTCTGTGCCATACAGTTGAAAACACACATATGGAAACCAGCAATTACCCCCCAGGTACATGTCCTGGAGATAATCTTGCAAGTAATCTTCATATTACAGGCACAAGATCCTTTATAGTGATTTGTTTGCAATGACTCTAAGCTGGAAATAACACACATGGCCATTGATAGTAGAATGAACAAATACATTTATATACATAGTCATTCAACTCTATAGAGCCATGAAAATTAACCCACCACAGCTACGCACAACATAAACAGATCTCACAAATAAATGTGAGAGAAAGAATCAGGACACAAATAAATGCATATGTTATGATTCCATTTATATGAAAATCAAATCCAGGGGAAAATATACTGTGAAACATTCATGCTGAGATGGTAAAACTGGCAGAAAATGAAAGATAATATGGGAAGGGTAAATGGTGGAGCTTTGCTTATAGGTAAAGTCCTTTCTTGACTTGTGTGATAGTTATTTGATTGTTCACTTTATAATTATTAACTTATATATGATGAATGTGTGCATATGTAAAATATTCTCTAATTTCATAACCAAAAAAAGGACATACTAAATTTAAGATAATTCTCAACGTGGGCTATTTCTTAAGCAATAAATTTGACATTCAGACAGGGAGTGTCTGACTCTAGAATCTGCACTTTGATCCACTTATTAAAACATGCACAATACATTCATACACACAAATATCCCATGGATCCAAGAATAGAATTAAATGCACAAAACTCTTGTGATGGAAAATTCAATTCGTATCATATTCTCGACAGAAAGCTTAGCTATTTGTGGACAATAAATCTCTGTTTTATACATATGATTTTAGTTCTTCCCACACATATTTGCTTATGCTTGAATCCTTAAAATTTGATGCTTCCGTATTTTTCTTGGCTTGAGAATTGCACGTAGAAATCAGGAATTCAGGAAATGGGGGTTGAATGATCTCTGTTCTGTGTGACTTCCAGAGATTGAATCTAAAGTCCCAGTTTTAGTGAGGAAATTATTGTTAAATTAGCATAAATTAGCATATTAAAAACATTAGAATCCAGGCCCCACTTCGGCCCTTGAGCTTTGGAGGCATCTCAGCCTTTTCCTGGGCTGGCAGTTAGCCATGTCGCTGAAGATGGCGGTCAGCACGGTGAACAGGACGGCCACGGCCGGCATCTGGAGCTCGGGCTCTGCAGTCCTGCAGGAGGCGGCCGGCATGTAGGAGCAACTCAAGGGCGAGTGGAACCGGAAGAGCCCCAATCTCAGCAAGTGCGGAGAAGAGCTGGGCCGCCTCAAGCTGGTTCTGCTGGAGCTGAACTTCCTGCCCACCACGGGGACCAAGCTGACCAAACAACAGCTCATCCTGGCCCGTGATATTTTGGAGATTGGGGCCCAGTGGAGCATCCTTCGCAAGAACATCCCCTCCTTCGAGCGCTACATGGCCCAGCTCAAATGCTACTACTTTGATTACAAGGGGCAGCTGCCAGAGTCCGCCTACATGCACCAGCTCCTGGGCCTCAACCTCCTCTTCCTGCTGTCCCAGAACCGGGTGGCTGAGTTTCATACAGAGTTGGAGCGCTTCCCGGCCAAGGTCATCCAGTCCAATGTCTACATCAAGCACCCTGTGTCCATTGAGCAGTACCTGATGGAGGGCAGCTACAACAAGGTGTTCCTGGCCAAAGGTAACATCACTGCCGAGAGCTACACCTTCTTCATCGACATTCTGCTGGACACTATCAGGGATGAGATTGCAGGGTGCATTGAGAAGGCCTATGAGAAAATCCTTTTCACTGAGGCCACCCGGATCCTCTTCTTCAACACACCCAGAAAGATGACGGAGTATGCTAAGAAGCGAGGGTGGGTCCTGGGCCCCAACAGCTACTACAGTTTTTCCAGCCAGCAGCAGAAGCCAGAAGACACCACCATTCCCTCCACGGAATTAGCCAAACAGGTCATGGAGTATGCTCGGCAGCTGGAGATGATTGTTTGAGCCCATTGGCCCTGGGGCAGGGCAGGGCATGGTTATTTAAAATAGTCACAGTGCAGGCTGCCCGCCAATAAGTTAGACTGACATTCCTTCTTCCAGGGAAAAAAAACCCAAAAGTGTTGGAGTTGAAAAAAGTTGTTTGGATTATTTTAATATTTTTCTTTATTTACCAGATTTACTGTCTTCAAAGATTTAGTCATCACAGTTCTAAAATGTTATTGCTTCTATACACTCTTGACATAAGAAAATTCACCATTCATAAATTACGTGAATGAAATTACATGAGAAAAATATTACACATTTGAAAATCAATTCTGAGCAAGGGTTTCATCTGTGTTGACAATTGTGTAGACAATTCTCCCTGTTTAAATAAACATTGGATTATATCTCATGTATAATGATGTCACAAGTATCTAGCAAAAATACTTTACCAACAATAAAAAAATATTGTTCTGTGCAAATGTACTGCTAACTTTGTACACTTGCTTTTTGAACAACCCTTTTTTATTTTAATACATTGAGAATATTATTGCTTTTGGGGGAAAATATACCACATGGATTATTTTTCATATCTATTTCTTTTCTTTTTTCTTACATAGACATATAGCAAAATATCCTTCAAGGAAATTTACACATTTCTTTTGTTTTTGCCTGTAAAACCTCAGTAAGAATATCCATAATAATTTTGTCATTTTGTTATGGTCATGTTGGATTATAAAATTGCTTTTATTTCAATGTTTAGAAATAGCTGTCTCAAAAAGAAAGTGTTCTTTCAAAAAACCATATTCAGAATATTTGTGGAATTTTGTAAACAGGCTACAGTATCAGAAAGCAATATATGGCTAGATTTGGTTGGGGTGGGGAAACTACTTGTCTTTTAACAACATACTATTTCTCTCTTTTTTCTTTTTCTTTCTTTTCTTTTTTTTTTTAAACTGAGAATTGAACTCAGGTGCACTTTACTATTGAGCTACATCCACAACTCTTTTTCTTTTTAATTTTGAGACAGGGTCTTGCAAAGTTGCTTAGGGCTCTGCTAAGTTATCTTGGCTGGTCTCAAACCTGCAGGCTTCTCCCTCAGTCTCCAGAATGGCTGAGATTACAGGTGTACCACCATGCTTGACTGAGCTGTTTACAAAAACTGGCATTTGCATTTTCATATGATCATGAATCCCAGTGCTTAAAAGTATTTATGCATTAATGTTTGTATATTAGTTGGAAGGAACTAACTGCCTGGGAGTCATATATAATGAGTATTTATTTTACAAATTCAATAATTATATAATTTATATATGGACATTCTGGGCTTACACTTTAAAGGAGCTATTACCTTGAAAATGTGATAGTGACTTGATTTATAATATCAAGGACAATGGTGTATTGTGCCTGATAAGTACATAATAAATTGAGGAAAGCTCTATGCTTTTAAAAACATACACAAGCAAATGAGCATTCTTAAGAAATTGAAATATATGATTTTTAGAATTATTTAAATATTAAATTAGTGAAAGAATTACTATTTATTTTTTAAAAATACCAATTTTCAATTATTTGATGGAAACACAGGTGTATTTCCTGAAGTAGCCACCAGATGGCTATATGGACCCTTCCTTAGTTAAGGGTTCATTTTTTGTTGTTTTTTTCCCCCTGCTGCACAACTAAAGATTCTTTACATAATTTTTATGGGACTTTGAAATGACTTAAAATATAAAGATATAATAGATATTAATGCAGTGACATTTGTGTGTATAATTGTTTCCGTTGATTTTAGTATAAGTAATGAAGACTGACAAGGATGAATCTCACAGAATCCCTAAATCACAGAAATTTCAAACGTTTAATATTTAGCTATCTTTTACTCCAAAGTCTTAATTTTACAGATTAAGAACATGAGATCTAAAAGGCATTCATTTTTCCCATCATTTTGGGCTTAGTTTCACTGGCAAAGTCTAAGTACATTATTCAGATAATTCAAATGCAGGATTAGGAAAAGACATCAAAATTACCTCTAAAACTACTCTGCAAATAAATGATAAGAAGTCCATCTCTTTGAATTATTAAGGAAATTATATTTATATATGTTGCTTCCATTCTGTCAATGCACTTACAAGGAAAAAATAGGTAAAATAAAACAAAGCCTAAACACTTTTTCTTTTTTTTTTTTTTAATGGTACTGGGGATTGGGCTCAGGGCCTTGTCAATGCTAGGGAAGCATTCTATCACTTATTTACATTCCCTGGCCTTTTTTGAAAAATGTTATTTTGAGACACGCTGTCACTAAATTGCCCATGCCGGCCTCCAACTTGCCATCCTCTTGCCTCAGCCTCCTCCGTCCCCTTCCCCACACCCAGATAAAATATTATTTGATGATGAAGCCTTACCACATATTTTGTTCTGGAATATAGTTATCTTAGAAATAATTAGATTTATGTTACCATAAAAAGAGCTAAAATAAGAGTATTGCAACTCTGTCAAGTATGACTATTTAATGCAATTGGTATTTTAAAATATTGGTATATTATAAATTTAGTATTGTGTTATTTTCCAAAAATAAGATTCATTTTGATATGATTTTTCTGGACTATTTCTAAACACTTTTATTACTTTGTATTGGACATATAGTTCTGAATATGTTCTGACATCTTTATAAAATTGTGCTTAAAACTATAACCATTGATACTGAAATTTAGCATCAACAGCTCATATTCTCCTTTTGGTGGGAGAGTATAGCTGTGCATGCTAACAACTATGAAATTTAACAAACAAGTTACCTTTTCTCCTCCATAAAAGCAATTGAATGCTAACCTTGGAATGTTAGGGCTGCCTTACTCTAGTCTCCCAGCAATGAATGGAAACAGAGCTCAGGGAGCATCACAGAATGTCTGTCTTATGCCACTTTAGTCAGAATTTACACATTACAACTCAGAGATGTTTAAATATGGTGAGATTTGTTTTCTATAACTGATGTCATCTTGATCTCAGTGACTCAAACAGGAAAAAAGAGAAGAGAGAAATAAAGCCTTAAATGTGATGTAAGTCAGTGTTTATTTCTATTGCTAGTTTTTTGTTTTGGTACTGGGCATGGATCCCGGGGTCACATAACCACCAAGACACATCCCCACTCCTTTTGATGTTTTATGTTGAGAAAGGGTCTCACTAAGTTGCTTAGGGTCTCACTAAGTTGCTTAGGGCCTTGAGAAATTGCTGAGATTGGCCTTGAACTTGGAATACTACTGCCCCAGCCTCTGAAATCTCTGGGATTACAGGTGTGAGCCACTGCACCCAGCTGTTCCTAGTGACTTTCTTTCTTCTTCTTCTTCCTCTTTTTTTTTTTTTTACAAAGAAGCCTTTTTTATTTTTATTTATTTATTTATTTATTTATTTTGTGATGCTGGGGATTGAACCCAGGGCCTTGGGCATTCAAGGCAAGCACTTTACCAACTGAGCTATATCCTCAGTCCCTCCCCCGCCCCACACCACCAGTGACTTTCTTATAGTCATTTCAAACTTCATCCCATTTGGAAGGGTTTTTTCTTGCCCTTTTCTTTTCCAACATGGTGTATTCAATGCAGGGCAAAGATTATCTATCTTTTAGTGGGGAGGAAAACTCTTCTGGTTATTTTCTGTTTTCTCAGTCCATGATGTCTCCAAAGAGTTGATCCTGGGACCTTCATACCGTTGGGTGTTTTACAGTAGTTCCATATTGAAAATCATGGTCTGTCAGACTTCATGTCATCTCTACATACCCTCTCTAAGCCCTTAAGGACCTGGGAAGCTGGGTGCAGGGGAGCACACCTCTAATCCCAGCAACTCAGGAGGCCGAGGCAGGACAATCGCAAGTGCAAAGCCAGCTGGTTAAGAGAAAAGAGAAGAAGAAGCAGCAGCAGCTATTGAGTGTGCTGTCTAGGTCTGTCTGCTTCTGCTGAACCATGTTGCTACAATGTGCTTTCTGATGGTCTCCTCTCAGCTCTCTTGTATCTCCTCTCTCGGGGCTGACTTGAGCGGTCGATAGGATGCTGCTTGAGTATCACAGTGTGCTCTCCTCTAAATCTTTCCAACTCATGCAGATGCCGATGGTTGTCTTTCCCTTTTGATTTGCTCTGGGAAATTTCTTACATTCTTCAATCCTCTTAACCATGGCTTTTATAGGAAATTGTCTCAAGATTTGCTCTGGTTTTGCAGTAAGAAGTTTGTGTGTGTGTGTGTGTGTGTTTCCTTTTTTTTTTTTTTTGGTACTAGCAATTGAACCCAGGGGTGCTTAACCACTGAGCCACATCCCCAACCCTTTTTATATTTTATTTAGAGACGGGGTCTTGCTAAGTTGCTTAAGTCCACACTAACTTGCTGAGGTTGGCTTTGAACTGACAATCCTCCTGCCTCAGCCTCCCAAGCCACTGGGATTATACGCATGGGCCACCGCACCCTGTTGCAGTAAAAAAAAATTAAGAATTCACAAAAAGATGGTTTCTTTCAACATTGCTTAATATTTCAAGCTTTCATTTCTCTATTAATGTATGTACATATAAACATATAAACATAAATAAGTATAATACAAATATTAACATATATATAAGTTAATTTGAGTTTCAAAGTTGAACAATAATCATTTCATTTTAGGATCTGTGCACCTTCCTTATTTGAAGTAAAGAATTAAAGAATTGAAGAATTGAATTGGTCAGAAGACATGGGAAACCAGAGAAAAGAGGAGAAAAAGTATTGATTTAATATCTCAAAGACACTACCATTATTGCATTATTAAGACCAAGTGATAAGAATTCTCATGCTTAGTCACTGCATTCCTGATACTGTTCTACAACTCTTTAGTATTAAACACTGAAGTGGCTTAAAATTTGTGTTTGATTGCTGCTGTGTTTTGGTGTTTTGTTGTCTGACCATTTAGTAAGGCAAGGGAAACCGGAACAGTCTGGCTTATGTAAGGGCTCATTCACTTATTCATTCATGTATTCAGTCAGTCAGTGCTTGATGAGTCTGAAAAAGAAATA